AGCAGGAATGTAGCTCAGTGGTGCTGCACCTGCCTCCCAAGCGCAAGATCCTGAGTTTGAGCCTCAGTTCTGGGGGAGGACCAAAACAAAACAAACAAGAAAACACACAGGTAACTAACTGTTAGTCATAATTTTTAGCCACCAGAGATTTTTTTTCTCATCTCATCATAATATCTTTAATGACCTAAAATAATCATCACAGATACAGTAATGATTTAAGTCTCACAATGAAAATAATTTTCTGAGCAATAATAAACATATATAGTTATATTATATGTTTAGTTAATACTTGTTGAAGGGAAAGAACTAGAAATTAGATGTCTGATTACTCTTATCAAAGTAATACATAATATAGATTTTATGTTAAGGCCATTTAAGATAGTTTAAGTTTTCACTTTATTAGTATTTTTAACCACCTAGTTATTTAATAGGTCACTTCTTATCCCAGTAACCCCATTTTACTCTCTAGAATGGATTTGCCTTGACAGCTGTTACTTTTAACTTCAATTCTCATTTATATACTATATGTAAACTTATAGAATATGAGACAGAAAAATACTGGAGACAGTAAATGTCTAATCTATAAATACATGCACATAAATATATGTGTGTGTACACAGACACAGAGGCGTCTCTAGGGAAGCATTTATGGAACCCCACAGTTGCCAAAACTCATACACTTGCCCTACTTTGGCTCAGGTCTCTTGTTTCTCTAAAAAAGTAATATCCCATCTCTATTACTTTAGTTCAATGGGAAGAATCTATGATTTAAAGTTATTATAGATTTTTAAGTCTATAAACATAATGTTTATAGATTTGTTTATAAATCATAAATAAAACACGTGATCAGCAATCAGTATGTACTTAACATAATCAGTGATTTAAAAGAGATGGACGCGATTATATTTGTGTCGTCCTTCATTTTATAAAAACGATGCTAAATTATCTTCCTTTATAATTCAGAGGAATAGGAAAGAACAGAAATTTGCCATGTCAGCAGCAAATTAGTTTACATGTAATAGTTTTCATTGTAAAACTCTAGAACTTCATTGTGTTAAAATTGGACAATAAAGAACATATTTTCAAAAATTTCAATAAAACAAACATACCGATTATTTAAGTATTCTTTGTAAGCCAGCCACATAGTGGCATATGTCTGTAATCCTTAGCACTTTAGGGAGGTTGAGGCAGGAGTCTGACAAGCTCAAGTCCAGCCTGGGCAAGACCATGTCTCAAAATAAAAAAAACCTTAAAAAGGGCAGGGCATGTGGCTCTGTGCAAAAGCCCTAGGTTCAATCTCTAGTACTGAAGGGAATGGAGTAGCAGGGGAGAAACTATTGAAATGGGATGAAAGAAAGAAAGGTATATTGAGAATAGGCTTCCTCATACAAATGATTTGATGAATAAGATATTCAAATCATTATAAAAAAATAAGCTTGCCCGATATGGTGGCACATGCTTGTAATCCCAGCACGTGGGAGACTGAGGCAAGAGGATTGCCATGAACATGGGCTACACAGTGAGTTCAAGGCCAGCCTAAACTGCTTAGTGACACCCTGTCTTAGAAAAACAAAAACAAAAATAACCCTTCTCCCAAATTGAAAACAAGTAAAAGAATCAACTTAAAAGCCTCTTTCTAAAATGGGTTAAGTAACTGGACAAGTTTCCATTTAGACTGGGCTACAGGAAGAGTGCACTTTTACTGAAACCATTTTTAACTTATAAAAAAAACCATGATAAAATAATTTTCATTGATTCCACTATCTCATTTTATTTTGTTCAGGATATTCTTTCACCCTACTTTAGAATATCACATAGCCTTCACTGTTATGTATAAAGCTACATCAGTTAGATGGCAATTTCTAGGCAAAAATGTTCTTGTATGATATAATGATGAAAAGTCAGCTGGGTGTGGTGGCGCACACCTGTAGTTCCAGCAGTTTGGAGACTGAGGCAGGTGTCATCATTCCAAGTTCAAAGGCAGCCTGAAATACATAGCAAGACCCTGCCTCCAAAAAAAGCAAGCTAAAATACTCTTCCCACCCACAATTTAATGAACAGGCAACAAAAGGCATCTTATAATATTATTTTGCCCTTAGCAAAAAGCAAGAGGCCAAGCACTTTCTGTTTACTTTAGGATCACATGGCTATAAATTACCTAGGTTTCTACTATCTGTGGGCTGTGGATGCATTTTCAAACCAATCAACCTCACATTTCCAAACCCTGCATAATTGTAACATTCCTGGAATATGAGGTCTGAGCAGCTATGTGAGATTAAATGCAAAAAGTTATGGAAATTTTTTAAAAGAACTTACATTTTTGGTAAGATGATTCTTACATGGGGATAAACATTTTAAAGTTTAAAACAGTGTTATCAATAAAATGACAGATGAATGCTTGAATGGGAGCTGTAGACTCTCAAAAATATTTCAAATCTTAAGACTAAACCAAACTGTTACCAAAATGATGTAAAGTGGCTCAAATAAAACCTGTCTTTCCTTCACCCTAACATCTTTTACTCATCAAATCTCTTTTGCACAGCATGATTTTTATCTTTGTAAGAATTAAAGAGAATGTTGTTTCTAACTGAATAACATTTAGTTTAATTTTGCACAACTGAGATTTTATTATATTGACAAAATAATAGAACTGGAAGAAAAATCAAAGACTATAATATTATGCTTATTATAATTTAACCATTAAGCCAATTTTTCCAGGCTAAGAATAGAAATATTCTTTATTGATACATTTTGAAACATGGGTCTTTTATTTGGAGATTTCTTTTATTACTGTATTATCGAGTAATTGCACAAATGGTAAAAAGTGATTCAATTTTTTTAAAGCTCTTTAAAAATATATACAAATGAATTATTCTTTCAGATATAAAAAACTGTATTTACTAAATTTTTGTTTTTGTTTTGTTTTTTTGGTACCGGGGATTGAACTTGGGTCCTTGTGCTTGTGAGGCAGGCAGCAGAACCACTGAGCTAAATCCCTGGCCTCTAGATTCTTTTCCTATTAACTTCTTAAATGCACATTATGGAACATAAATATTAATGTTCTTATTTTCAATTTTTTTCCAGTACTGGGGAGCGAACTCAGGAGATCTTGTACTTGCCAGGCAGGTACAACACCCACTGAGCTACATCCCCAGCTCCTACTCTTTACTGACTTTGACTCTCCTGTTCTGGTTAGAGGGAAAACAGATCAGCTTTTCTTATGGGAACCAGGGGTTGCGGTGATAGCTTATCCCACCGGAAACAGTGACAGTGTACTCACTGTGCTCCCAGGGCCAGAACCAGCTCCACTGTATAAGCTCACCATGGCTTCAGGGGCTACTGAATACCAAGAGGGCATGAAAGTGTATCGAAGAATAATCTAGACCAGGCTCCTGGTGTCTCTGAACTTCTAGATAGATCATGGGTCAACACAGACCCCTTGAGAAATTATTAATCATTACTGAAGAAATACAAATGTCATAAAACCTGTCCAAAGCTGGACAGAGAAATGTTGCCACCGTCACAGTTAAGTTTTGTTCTGAGCGTCCTTTTTCTTGGTGCTGGTGATCAAACCCAGCATATTGTACACAGTAGGCAAGTGATCCACCACTGGGCTATGTTCCTAGCCCATCTTGTTTTTCTTCTTTTCTTCTTCTTTTTTTTTTTTTTTGTGGAATCAGGGACCGAACTCAGGACCTTGTACTTGCCGGGCAGGTGCGGTGCCACTGAGCTACATCCCTGGCCCTGTTCTTGGGTTTCTGATACCTAAAATATATATTCAGATGCTACTTCTTATAAAAGCCTGTTTTGTTTTAAACAAATAAAATGTTTAGAAATATAATCATAAAATGTTTAGAAATATAATTTCTTCAATATAATGAAAATAACATACCAAACTTTAAGGGTATACAGTGTAAAAGTTGTAGATGCTACAGTTATAGCAGTTAACACATGCTGAAGAAAATCCAAATTAAAACTTCCTTCTAAAAGGCTTGACAATTTTCTAACCCCTTCAGTAAAGAATATATGAGTAGGCTGGGAAAGTAGCTCAGTGGTGCCACACCTGCCTGGCAAGCACAAGGTCCCGAGTTCGATTCCCAGGACTGGGGCGGGGGAGACTTTCCTGAAAGAATGAGTGGGTAGAAGTTCAGGAACAGGCAGCAATAGAGAATTAAAATTAAAGCCCCTCATTCTATAGATATAATTCATTTAATGAGTATTTCAGAGTCTCTTGTTTTCATCTGTTTTATTCTGTGTGCATAATTTCTCAATAATTTAAGTTTTACCAAGAGTAGTGTTCACATCTCAATTTTCTTTAAAAATGATTCAATCTTTACGTTATTTATGAAATAAAGGTTGGGGGTCAGAACCACCTTACATTAAAAAAAATCTTTTAGGGCTGGGGATTTAGCTCAGTGATTCCGTCACTTGCCTCGCAAGCACAAGGACCTGAGTTTGATCCCCCATACCAAAAAAAAAAAAAAAAAAAAAAATTCTTTTATTGTCAAAACTTGATAATTAACCAGGTAAAGTGATACATGCCTGTAATTCCAAATACTCAGGAAGCTGTGGCAGGAGGATAGTTTGAGGCCAGCCTGAGCAATGTAAGGAAAGACTGTCAAGACAGACAGACAGACACAGACAGGTTGACTGGGTCTACTTTGCCAAAAACCCCACAATTATTCTACTCGCTTGGCTTTTTCTATTGTTACTAATTCTTGCTGAGTTACAATCTCAGTGGGCAGAAGCACTCAAACTATCCTCAGACTTTCGCATTAATGTAAAAAATTATACAGTGCATGGTGTCGTTTCTGTGTATATTCTAATACCTTTTTGAAGGATGATTTCTGAGAATAAAAACACTACACTTTTAAGTCAATTTTCTTATAAAAGAGAAAGGATTTAAAAATCAAACACATATAGTTTCTGAACCATTGAACTTATTTTAAATTATTTATTTGTAATTTACTTATTTATTTTTGGTACCAGGGATCAAACTCACAATCCTGCACTTATGAGGCAGGCATGGTGACAACACTGAGCTAAATCCCCAGCCCTTATTTATTTGTAACTTAATATATGGAGCTAAACAAAACTCAAATTTCTAAATAGCAAGTACATGAAATAATATCATCCTTTTAGGTGACCTATGTATAAACAAACAAAAAACTGACCTAATTTCAGGATTGTTTTGCTTTTAAGAAACATGCTATGGTGTAAGAAAAAGGCTGGATGGGCACTTAAATATAATTTGGGACCAAATAACTTACCCAAGTCAATATGGAAAAAGTTGAACTGAAGGCATTTCATCTTGAAGTGAATGAGATCTCACAATTATATAGCACTTTATATAGAGAAAGTGCTTTAGGACGATTTTTTTGTAATTTTTTTTTTTTTTGGTACTGGGATCGAACTTGGGACCTTGTGCTTATGAGGCAGGTGGCAGAATCACTGAGCTAAATCCCTGGCTCTACAATGATTTCTTGACAGTCATTTGTCGATGTAAATAAATGGTCTATAAGCACTTTGAGGCGAGCAAATATCCAAGAAAATCTATTCAGGAACAAATTCTTGGACTAGTAGATGTACCTAAGAAAAATATTAAGAGATCTGTCATAATATTACATATAGAAGTTATTTATGAGCTTAATGGATGATATGAAAATATTTAGTAGGAAAACTGAGAAATGGAAAGGTTTAAATGAAGGAATAAATAAAACAAATGAGTCAACAAACTGTCCAACAGATAAGGCTTCCTATAACCATATGAAAAATAAATCTTTTGGTTGTGGAGAACAGTTTAAAGTATAAATGTAAAGCACATGGCTAGAATCTGATCCTTAGTTATTAAGACATTCTAAAACAAGGAAAAAATTAATGTACTATTTGACTTGTTTCAGCTATAATTTCTCCCCAAATAACATCACCAATATATTTACCTTTGCCAGCAAACAGAATAATCATAAAATAATAAAATTTCATATATTTATGTTTTAAAAATTTTCTCCAAATCTTAGGACAATTTAGTTTTCTGTAAATAATTATTCATTTTTTTCCTCTAAATAATTCTGCCAGGTGCTTTAGGTAAGATTTAATTAGCACCTCTGCCAATGTATTTTTTTTTTTTTTTTTGGTACCAGGGATTGAACTCTGGTCCTTGCGATTGCAAGGCAGGCCACCGAACCACTGAGCTAAATCCCCGGCTCTGCCAATGTATTTAAGTCTTTGCAAAAAGTGCACTTGCCAATCATTTTGTGAAGTAAATATGTAAGCTATTTCAAGTGCATTTGGAAAACAACTGAAAACAGAGATTAATACATCATAAAAAGATTAATTCCCTTTAAACAAAGACATTCTTATAAAGCACAGTAACACATAAGCATAATAAAGAATATAAATTGTATATCAATTATTGGCAGAAAATCTAATTTCATACAAAGCCTACACCATTGAGGAAGAAGACATTTCCATACAAAGAAAAGCATTACACTATAATACAACACTTTTAATTGGACATTTACAAATTTTTGGCACATTAAAAGGAAATAAAAAGTCTAAAAATAAAGGACAAAGAAACTAAAACAAAGATACAAGAGAGAGGAAAAGTCCTCAAATGTGAAACACTAAATACTGACATAAAAGAGAAACAAAAAATACGCTGGGTGAATTTCCTGAAATGTTGTTATATGTAACAGAAGTATGCTTCAATGCAGGTTGTTTTTTATTTCTAATGGCAAGATTTCTCTACCTTGCTGTGGCTGGCTGAACATGGCCTGGATAAGATCTTCTTGTACTGGTTGCTTGTCTTTGCCTAGCTAGAAATGACTGCCCTGAACCAGTGCTGGCTAGTCTGTCTTCAGCTGCTTTTTTATGCAGAGTCATCCCCTGTAACATTAAAAAAAAAAAAAAAAGTAATGAAAAACTAGTGGAATATATTCTCACAGGAGAAAACTTCACTATGTAGAATTTGTTATACTATATAGTAAAGCAGTTCAGGAATATTAATTTATTACAGATTAAGATCTTATCTTGTAGCAGGATTTGGTTTCCACAATTAAGTACCAATCTTTTGAAGAAATTAAGGCTTAATTTTTTGAATTTACAATAGATAATATAAAGATTTTTAGAATATATTTTACCCATAATTCCCATTGAAATTAAATGTAAAAAGTGATTTTTGTAAGAAAAAAAAAGTGTAACTGATTTGTAGTAGATAATTAACATAGGTTTTGGAAATCATAGGGCTCATTTTCAAAGGAAAAATACAAATGCAATTATTTCTTATCCTCAAAAGTTGCACTGGGTATTATATATACCACCATGCTGTTTTTCTTCACTTCAAGGTAGACTTGTATTCTCAAATAAATTAAGAAAAGTTCCCAAGAGACCACCATAGAGAGCCCAACCAAGAGCAAGGGGGTCTCTCCTGATGACATCAGGATTGCCTGCTACCTTAGAGGACAGAGGTGGCCAAAACACAGTCACAAAAGTGGGAAATGTCAGGGTGTTCGGCGAAGGTGGAGGAAGGACAACAACAATATTTCTATTTTATAAAGGCAGACGTCTAAGAGATCAGGCAAAGAGCAATTTTGTTATTACTTTAATAAACCAATGCAGAACCCTAGATAGAAAAACTTTAAGAATTGAGAGGTGCTGTTTAATTTCACCAATGACTGGACACAGGTAACCTGTTAGGAAAAAGTGAAGGCTGATACCCAGAAAGAAACAACAATGCAGAAAAGTCCAGAATTTTGTTTTCTGTCTTTCTTATTTCTTTCCTCTCCTTTTAAAAAAATTTTTTTTTGGTTTCTTTTTTCTTTGGTACCAGGTCGAACTTGCGACCTTGTGCTTGTGAGGCAGGTGGCAGCACCACTGAGCTAAATCCCCAGCCCAATTTTTTGGTTTCTTAGACAGGGTATCACTATGTAGTTCAGGCAACTCACTGTGTAGCCCAGGCTGACCTCGCACTTCCAGTGATTCTCCTGCCTCAGCCTCCCACGATGTGCCACGATGCCTGGCTAGAGATAAGTTTTTTTGTTTGTTGTTTTAATCACTAGTTAGTTCTAGGAAAGACACCGGTCCTGGCTTTGCATTTTTAATATAATTCAGTCTACGAAATATCCCCAGATATAACATAATTTCCCAGAAAAATAAACAAAACTTTTAAGTCAGTTTGAAATCAAACCATTTAAAGATTTGAACAAAACTGACAAATATCTATTGATAATCTTTAATTATAACACTAACACAACAGAATGAAAAGACAATGTACAGAATGGGAAAAAATTTTTGCTAATTATTCCTTGAACAGAGTACTAATATCTAGATTATAAAAGAATCTCAAAAAATTTGGAGTTTCCCAAAATAAAAGACCCAGTCAAAAAATGGGCAACTGCTGGGGATTTGGCCCAGTAGTGCCATGCCAAGGTCCTGAGTTTGATACCTGGTACCCGCGCCCAAAAACCCAAAACAAACAAAAAAGGCAACTAAATAGATACTTCTCAGAAGAAGTAGAAATGGCCAATAAATACATGAAAAAATATTCAACATCAGAGATACCATCTTACCACCCCAGAAAGAATGGCTATCATCAAAAAAATCTAGAAATAACAAATGCTGCTGAGGATGTGGGGAACAAAGAACTCTTCTACATGTTCATGGGAATGTAAACTAGTACAACCACTATGGAAATCAGTATGGAGATTCTGCAAAAAAACCAACAATAGGAATTCCATTTGATCCAGCTCTTCCTCTTCTAGTTATCTTCCCAAAAGAGTTAAAGTTATCATGTTACCTAGATAAAGAACATGTGGTATTTATACCCAATGAAGTACTCCTCTAGCATAAAGATAAACTTGAGGAATTTACAGGCAAATGGATCCAACCTGAGAACATATTAAGTCAGACACACAAGCTTACATATTATATGGTTTCTCTTATATGAAAAACAAAAAGTATATAAGGGCAAAATAAATAAGGAGAAATTCAAAATAATTCCCTTAATTATTTTCAAAAAATATTTTAATATATATGCTAATGTGTTTCATTTATACGACTAGTTTCTGTTAGCTCACTTAAGACAGTTTTGTGCCATTATCTGTTTGTTTTTTGTAAGAGAGGATCTTTCTTTTGTCTATGACTTGTTTTCTGAGCAACAGTTTGGCAATTCTTTTAAGATCATGACACATAGTGTATTAATTCTTGCTATTCTCTATTTTGTTATGAAATTTTTTTTATAGAAGAGTGCCTTTTGTATTTATTAATCTCTTTGTATTAATTAAAACAAAAAGAAATTCTTATTTAGCTACCTATATTGAAATTATATCTTATTTAAAATATCATAACATTTTCACTTATATACTTGCAGCAACTTAATTCAAATTCTTCACACTTTTAAGACCACAATATCCATCACAAAGTTATTCGCTGAGCTACTTAAAACCTTTTCCCAGCATTCACCATCTCCATTTCCATATAAATTGTCTTAGATGAAGGACTTTCTGAATGTAAGCAAGATGCAGTTACTGGTTATCTAATCTGAACATAATTTGTATAAATCTATTTACTCTCTGAAGAGTTAAAAATTTAGGACAACTCTTTAGCATCATGTCACAGAATGAATCTGGTTCCATAAGAAACATGTAAAACATACAAATCAATTAAGGCATAGAGCTACAAGAATGAAATTACTAAGCTCAACAGAGTCAGGATTAATTCCTAGAGAACTTCACTGAATGTGTGATTTTGTTGTATGTATACATTTTTAGGATTATCTACATTTTTTATTAATATTCTAAATCTAAAATTATTTCTTTTCTAAGAAAAAAGATGTGATGAAATCTTAGCCTTGACCAAGACCAATAAATGTTGATATGCTATAAAATTTGTGAATTTTTAGCAAAAATCAAATCACACTTTTAGGTCAGGGACACTAACCTTTAAGAGGCAGTATCAATTATAACTGCAAAACAACAATGGTTTTACGTCAACAGAGCTATAGGGCTAGAAGAGGATGTTGAAAGGAGTCTGATTTAATTATCAGTTTCAGACGAAGCTGTTTCATTGGGAAGAACAAAAAGAAAAGGAAGACAAAAGGCTGGGAAAAAAATACTGAAAAAGTGCCACATTTTGAGAAGCTGTAGTTGTTTATACCCAGACCAGAATGTTGATGAGCATTCAGTTTTCCCTGAAGTACATTTACAGAGTTTTGTGTTGAACATTGAACTTCAAAGCCTCAAATGGGTCAGGATCTGGCCCTGTGAATATGCTCTAATCCTGTGGGATGGATTGTTAAACTGTCCTGCTGTCTTAATTGTAAGTCCTGCAAAGGTGCTGAGACAGTCTCACATACAGGGTTAAATGAGGTCAGAAAGGTGATGTGCACCTTTGTTAGTATGAGTTAGGACAGGAATTACTTTCTAATTTTTTAGTAGAATTACTCCAATAAAGGCAATGTTACATGTCCACTGAACTGTGCATTATGTTCTAAATGCTGTTTTCTTACCATATTGTACCAGGCACTAACAATATACTTCTCCTCCATGTCTCTTTGACTCTTCGTTTTCTCATATTCTTTCTAAAGAACAAGCGTAAACAGGTGAATGTACAAGATAATTGAATATCAACAAAATTCTACAATTCGTCTAAATCATAGAAATAATCATGTAACACATGATTAATGAAAATGAAGAAATCAAAAACTCAGTATTTTATTGTACAGTAAACTACCTCTAATGAGTGGAATAGTCGGTCCCGCTCCTGGAGTTGATTTTTAAGAGCTTGTATTTCTGGCGCTGCCCCTTGATTTTGTTTAGGATCTAAAGTACGGATGACCTGCACAGAGTAATGAAAGAAAAATGTATAAAGTCTTGGGCTGTGGCCAGAGCTGTGTAGTATACTGCCTGCACAATAACTGTGGGGTACTGCAGCAAGCAAATAAACAAAAAACTAAGTCTCAAAGGGTGTAACACTTAAGAAAGTAATTATTTTTGTAAAAAAATGAAAGGATATATTATAAAAAAGGATATATTACAAAAACAAAGGACTATAATACAAAGATAATTAAAAATATAAATTTATGAAACAATATTTTGCAACTTTTGAATTAAATGAGAAATCATTTATGAGAAGCAATCTGACTTAATATTTTAAGTACTACTCATCAGACACTACTGGCAGCTTTCTGCTCTGTCCTCTCTTCAGCTAGTCCTCTGCCACTGGACAGGTACTTTAGAGGGACCCAGCTGGCGCAAGCCCATCCCTGTGCTTCTATTTCCTCTTCTGCTGGTAGTTCCGAGTGGGTATGGGATACAATTCTGGAGGACCAACTAGAGCACTTCTGGGAGAGGTCTTTTTTTCCTGTTACTTTTACTATGAACATGTTCAAACAATAAAAACAGACTTATCTTTAAGCTAGATTCACCAACTGCTACAGTGCCATACTTGAGGTGTCTCTCTACATACACATATGCACTTGTTTTGGATTCTATTTAAAAATAATCCATAGACCTCATGACATATAACCCTTAGATACTCAACGGTGCATATCCTTAGTCCAAAGGTATTCTTCTTTATAATCACAATATATTATCATTTTGAGAAACTTAACAATTCTATAGAACTGTTACTAATTGGTTCAAATCCACATTTTAACACACATACCCCTAAAATGTCTTTTAACTGACCATCTCTGCTCCCAATCCAGGACCTGAGTATCAGTGTGCTGCATTCGGTAAAGCAGATTCCATGGCTTATTTTTGTTTTTTAATACTTATAGCTCCAATTCTGGATTTACCTGATATTTCCTTGAAGATATTATTGAATTTGTCTCAATAACCTCATTTTTTCCCTCTGAGTGGAAAGTTAGCTCTAGAAGATTTTTAAATTCAGGTGAATTATTACTGTCATGATATGCCAAGAGAAAGCACCAGTCCTTATGTATAGTACCATGTGTCATTAACTTTGATTACTGGTCATGGTGGTGACTGGCACTTATTTCCTACGTGAGGTACATTTTCTTCTTGGGAATCAGTAACTATTCTCTGCAGAGACCTATTCTGAAAATTGCTTGCAGCTCAGGCTCTTTTTTTGGTTCAAAGATTTCTTCTGTTTTTCATACTGTATATATTCTACATTTTAAGATCTCATCCTGGGAATGGTGGCACATGCCTATAATCCTAATGCTCAGGGAGTCTGAGGCAGGATTGCTGCGAGTTCAATGCTTGCTTAGGCTACATAGTTAATTCAAGGCCAGCCTGAAATACATAGTGAGATCCTGTTCCAAAATCCTCAAAAACCCCCTCAAAACAAACAAAACCTCAGTGAAGGATGATCAGAATGTACAATGAGATATTCTCAAATTCATATTTATTCTTACACTCTTGGCTTTCTCTAAATATTTTTTGTATCGTTCTTCCATTTGCTTCATTTCCTCTTCCTTCTTCCGTAAAGCTTCTTGTAATTCTTCAATTTTTAAGGCTGTAGATAGGGGATATTAAAGAGAGATTTTATATTTTAACAACTTTAAAACTGTGTTTTAATTGCAGTTAGTAACAGTTAACAGATTTGAGAGATTGTCTGGCCTATTACCATACGTACTTTTTAAAAAACACCAATTCAAAAAACATTTTTTTTTTTTTTTTACAAAAAACCCTTCTTTAATAAACAAGAAATCCAATATAGAACAGCAACAACTTATAAAGTTCCACTGATAGTTATATGAACAAACAAAATGTGGTATACTCATACAATGTAATGCCCCTCAATCATTTCTGAGACATACTACAACAAGGAGACAATGCTAAGTAATTTATATTTATTTATTAAATGTGAGGATTATATCATTCAGTGAGTGTAGAGTTCCAGTATGGACTGATGAAAAAGTTTTAGAAATGGGTAGTGATGACTGCATAATAATGTAAAGGGACTTAATAGGACTTAATAGTGTAGGGAACACTACACTTAAGATGGTTTAAGTCTTATTTGTATATTTTACTACAATTAAAAAAAAAGTAGGGCTGGGGTGGGGTTCAATAGTAGAGGACTTTCCTAGCATTGTAAAGCCCCAGGTTTGATTCCTAGTATTGCAAAGAATTTTTTAAAAAGTAAAAAGTTTTTTTTGTTGTTTGTTTGTTTGTTTGTTTGTTTTGGAGACAGGGTCTCACTACGTAGCTGAGACTGCCCTGGAACTCCCTATGTAGCCCAGACTGGTCTCGAACTCACAGCGATCCTCCTACCTCAGCCTCCCAAGTGCTGGGATTACTGACATGTGCCACCACGCTCAGCCAAAGTTTGTTCTTTCACCTAGTAAAAAATAAAAACCAAACTACCTACAGATATAACTGTAAATAGATGTGTAAATTCAGCTTTAGAATTCACAGTTAAGAAAAATTTGTAAACATGACTAGTATAACTAGTAATATAAGAGAAAAGGACATACTGCTCTAGGGCTGGGAATTTAGCTCAGTGGTGCTGTGCCAGCCTCCCAAATGCAAGGTCCTGAGTTTGATCCCCAGCATGAGAGTGTGGGGAGGATACTACTCTAAACAAGGCAAATTCTTCCACTGCATGACAGGTAATAAGGCCTATTTTTATATAAATTGATTATTTCTAGTGTAGTATATGGCTAACAACTTAAAACTAATGCTACACAGAAGAAACTCACAGCTGTTGTTAAATCTGGGCTCAAGATCTTCAATAATAGCTCTTTTCTTCTGCAATTCATTATTTGCTTCATGTAGCTTCTCTCTGTAGCAAAATATAGGACACTGTGTCACTTACTACTGTTTCTGCATCTTTCTTCCACTTCAAACTAAAGAACAGCATTCTTTATATTTGGAAGACACCTGCATACAAGTACTGTAAGACAAAACATTTCATTTGAAACAGAACTGTTTTTTTTGTATGTGAAGGGGTGTTAAGAGGGAACAAGGCTATTTTTTTGGAGTAAGGATATTATAACAGTTAAATTTTAAACTTTGCAGGTTTTATATCACAAACCCTTGTTGCAGAAGAATAAAGGTTAATGGAAAGAATACTCCATATAAACAAAAAAGAGTAAAGTGGTGATACATATAATTACATGAACAGATATCACAGAATAACAATGAACAAAGGAAGTCAAAATGTAATACTGTATGATTCTAGTTATGTGAAGTTCTGTTGTCAAAACTAATGACGTGATAAAGATCAGCACTGTGGCAAATTTGGAAATATAGTCAGTCAAATAAGAGGCAGAATTAAAAATTTTGTTAGGCTGCTAGAAGTACTCTACAACCCAAATTGCCTATGCATGTAGGTGTACATTCATGAAGCCCTACACACAGGAACTCGAGATGTGTGCTCATCTATCATGTGTGTGTATATTTAATATGCTGTAGTTCAATATAAAACAATTAACAGAAAGCTGTATTTCTTTCCAAGTATTTGTAAAGTATATGTAATTATCCCTTGATAGTATTTATTGTGGCACTGTGAATAGGAAAAAGGTTGTAGAAATTGGAAGATAACAGAAAAACAATAAAAATCGAGTACTTATTGATGTCTCTGATCTTTATAATGTACAATACCACAATAAAGTCTTCCCCAATAAATTATTTTTCAAAGTATAGTATGTGATATATACAATTATAGTTAAAAAAATTAAAATAACCTAAGCTAAGTGAATCACTATCAGGTTAAAAAACAGAATTCATCCAAAACCTTAAAGTTCCACTTGTCTCTAGCTCTCGCCTAGAAGTAATCAAGTCCAGAATTGTAGTCATTCCCATGATTTTCATGATTTTACTGCCTGTTCCTTGCAAAATGTGAGGCAGTGATAATTCTCATTCACTTCTGGTAGGAGTTCTAACATCAGTAACTTAGTAAATTTTAACATGCACCTATTCTTTGACATAACAGTTCCCAGGATTCCTAGTTAAAATTTACTAAGTTACTGATGTTAAAATTCCTACCAGAAGTGAATGAGAATTATCACTGCCTAACACCTTTAGCAATACATACTATGCATGTTTATATTTACTAATTTGGTATGTTTAAAATGGTCTTTACTAGTTTTAAATTTGAATGAGATTTAACATCATTTTAGATAGGCAGGGGCCCTTTGCTGTGTTGTTTTCCAAAAAGATAAACTGAAAAGCAAGGCATGATAGCTCACATTTGTAATCCCAGCCCTAGGGAGGAAGAGACCAAAGGATCACTGAGTTCAAGGCTGGCCTGGGATACATGGTGAGTTGAAGGCCAGTTTTGACTACACAGTGAAACCTTGTCCCAAAAAACAAAACAAATTAAAACAAAACAGAACTAAAACATAAGCTTGAGGTTCTAATCCCAAGTATTTTGAATGTGGCATTATTTAGAAATTAGGCCTTTATAGATATAATTAGTTAAGAGATGAGGGTGGGCCCTCTATCCAGTAACTAGTGTTCTTATAGGAAGGACAGACACGTGAAGAAACAAACACAGTAATCACCTCTGTTGTTGTTTTCCTTGGTTTCAGCTGCTTGTGGTCAATTACAGCGTGAAAATATTAAATATAAAACTTCAGATGTAAACAAGATGAGAGAGCTACTTTACAAAAAAAGGAATGTCAGATGAAGATGGATATAGAGACAGCCTAAAGGACAGCATGGCCTGCTGGCAGCCACCACAAACAGGGAGCCTAGTACGGAAGTCTTTTTCAGAACCTCCAGAAGGAACAAACCACTGACATCTTGAGTTTACACTTCCAGGCTCCATGACTGTGAGAAAATACATTTCTGTTTTTGTTTTTTGAGACAGGGTCTCACTATGTAGTTGAGACTGACCTGGAACTCACTTTGTAGCCCAGGCTGGTGTCAAACTCACAGCAATCCTCCTGCCCCAGCCTCCAGAGTACTGGGATTACAGACGTGCGCCACCATGCCTGGCGCTAATAAATCCTTTCTAATGAAGATTTCTACCATGTAAATGACCACAAAATAATGGTAAGACAGTAGTTTTATGAAAGGAGAAATATTCTAATTTTTGTCATAAAGGAATAAGAATTTTATTTTATTTTTTGTACCAGGGATCAAACTCAGGACCTCGTATTGTCAGGCAGGAGCAGTGCCACTGAGCTACATCCCTGGCCAAAGAAATGTAAAACAGGACAGAATTCAATACTAACTTCTCAATCTAAGTAACTTCTCATTCTCACAAAGGCTGGAAAGTAACTTTTTTTCTTCCTCTATTACCTCAAAAATGTGCTCACCAACAAAATAAGAGTGGGGGATCCAACATGGCTAACTAGAGGAGCAATCATATGAGAGCTCAGAGAAGATTCACTAAAGCCACAGGTCCTCTCTAGTGAGGGAAGGACTTATCCTCTGAAACAGAAAATTGATGAGAAAGATAATACATGCAGATCAAAGCAAACATCTGGATTACTGAAGAGGGGAACAGCACCACCACTGCCTATTCACACTGTTGCAGCCCCCACCTCTATGGGCAGCAAGCACATTAAGAGAGTATCTCAAACAGCCCGAGGGATGGACAAACTAGCCTTGCAAAAGGCTAGTGTCCTGGGTCAGACTGTGCACAGAGGGCCCTTCTCCTCACCTCTCCTCAAAACACTGGGGAATGGCGCAGCTCAGAGGTATCCGCAGTGGTGCTCACCAAAGAGAAGGGACCCCCATCCACACCCTATCTATCCATAGCAGAAAAAAAAAAAAAAAAAAGCAAATGGCACCCAAAGACTCCTGCCGACTCTGTGGACCCCACTTGAGAGTGGAGCCACTTACAGATTCCTGTGGACATGATCACGTCTTAAGTTCAGGAGAACTCTTGAGGCTGGGTTAGTTCAGGTTTTATGTGCAAAGGAAAAAAGGGAAATTGGTGTGGCTTCCTGCAATCAGAATATAAGTACAGCAAGAAGGGAACTGCAAACACTCAGGGTTTTGGGGGAAGCAGACACGTGTGAATTGCATGTACATTCTCTTGCTGGAATATTTGATCTGAGTTTCTGATAATAGATTTTTTTTTCTTTTTGCTTCGGTTTAGTTTTTATTTTCTCTATCTCTTCGTGTCTATTGTTTTTTCAACTCAAGCTTCCAGAGCAGTACTGTTTTCTTATTTTTTACTTGTTTCTCCCGCTTTTTAAATTCTTCCTCTCAAATTTTTAGTTTGCTATATTCTGCTTTCTCTCAGTCACTCCTATCTTTTCTTGTATTAACCTTTGGTCTTGTCTTCATACCTAACCCATCTTCCCTTGCCTCTTTCCCATTCTACTGGAGCACAAATATTATCAACAGCTCTGACAATCTCATGGCTTTCCTCAACCACAAAGTACAGCTTCCTCTTCCTATATTCTATCCTCACTCCTACAAATATCAACACTAACCCCTCAATCTAACTGTAAGGCTTCCAACAGAGTCTCACAGTGCCTGATGTTTTCACCCATCATTATTTCTCCTATACACCTTCCTCCTGCTGACTCACTCATTTCATCACCTATTCTTCCACCTTATCCCTTCACTTTTTTGCCTCCACACTGCAAAATAATTGCTAGTAACAACCCAATATAGGCTGCAAAGATACCGCTGAAAGATAAAGTGTAAATGCAAGGTTTATCACATATAAGTGATGTAGGATCAGAACAGTTGGTTGTTATAACAAAAAGTAATTCTTTCCTCAAAACACAGGGGAAGAGTCCAAACCACTTCTTCATATCATTTGTAATTATTCCCACCCTACCTGACTTCAACTCTTAGCACCCAAAAAATGGAGACAGACAGACAGATACACACACACACACACACACACACACACACACACACACAAACACACACGGTAAAACAAGGCAACAAAAGAGCCCCCAAAGTCTCCCAACTTGCCCAAGGCAGATTCAGGGGCACCAGTGGAGTAAACACCAGATAGCAGAGCTCTACAAACAGATTAAGAAAGAGTTAAAGAAACTTGAGGGTTCGAAGAGGACATGACCCAAAACTTTATGGAATTATCACACAAAATGACCAATGTGGATTTTGGGGAAACAAAAAATTAGAAGAGCTGATAAAAATGGTTCAAATACAAATAACAAATTTATCAAAGAAATAGAATCCACGAAAAGGTATCAGACAAAAATACTAGTTAAATAACCAACATGAAGAGTGGGTTTCTGAAATTGAGGACAAAATTGTAAATTACAAGATTACTCAGAGAAGCCTTAAAAATAATAAGAGAATGAGAAAAATTTATCCAACAGCTACTAGAATGACACAAAGACCAACTTAAGGCTAACTGGAGTTAGAGAGAAATTAGAAGATAGCACAAATGGAATAAAAATTTTGTTTATAGAAACTATAATGGAAAACTTCCCAAGTATGAGAAAAGAGCTCAACATACAGGTATGAGGCTTACAGAACAATGACCAACTATGATGAAAACAGAAAGTGTACATACTACATTGTAAGAGCCTTACTGAACTAGAGTGACTCCATGTTGACCAGCAAATGACCCAGAGACTGTTGTTTCCCCCACCCCTTATAGGATAAGTAGTGATTAATTGTGAATTACTAGGTAACTGCTAGGGAGTAGCTAGGAAACTAGATAGAAACTGTAACAAACATAGAGACCCAAAATAAATCATTCCACTCCTTGTTTGCCCGTAACTGAATGTTTTGGACACCACAATCTATAAAACAATGGATAATCGATCTGCTGATCACTAGTACGTAATGGTCAAGTACAACTACATTGTGAGCCTTACTGAACTAGAGTGACTCCATGTTGACCAGCAAATGACCCAGAGACTGTTGTTTCCCCCACCCCTTATAGGATAAGTAGTGATTAATTGTGAATTACTAGGTAACTGCTAGGGAGTAGCTAGGAAACTAGATAGAAACTGTAACAAACATAGAGACCCAAAATAAATCATTCCACTCCTTGTTTGCCCGTAACTGAATGTTTTGGACACCACAATCTATAAAACAATGGATAATCGATCTGCTGATCACTAGTACGTAATGGTCAAGTACATGATTGATGACCACTTGCCTTTGTCCCCTTCCTGTAAGTTTCGAGTGTAAATTCCTCTCAGAGCCCTATATAAAACAGCCTCTGATTCTGAGCTAGTTGCCTCTCTGAGCTACTTGGCTCCATGAGTGCTGTCTGGCCAGACTAACAAAGGTCTATTTGCCAACCAGCCTGGTGTGTTCCTTCCTGACTCTCACTGTCCTGAGCTTTAGCGCTCAGCATTGTGGAGGCCTTTTGGCTGTTCAAGATCCATGGAGCAAAAGTGAGACTTTAAGTGTTACAACATTATAATTAAAATTCCACATGGCCAACAAAAACCCCGAATTTTAAAATTGTCAGAAAAAAGCAAACAAACAAGCAAACATAAAGGTAGACCTATTAGAATAGCAGAGTTCTCAGTACAAACTTTACTAGCCATAAGAACTTGAAATAGAGTATTTCAAGAACTAAAAGCAAACAACTTTCAACATAGATTAATATATTGGGCAAAACTTTCTTTCAAAATAAATGGAAAAATAAGGCCATTTCATAAAAAAGTGTAACTCAATAAATCTGTGAACATCAAACCAGCACTGCAGAAAATACTTCAAGAATATTCTAGAGAGAGACAATGAAGCCAAAAAAGTAAAAAAATAAAATGAACTGAATATATCAAAGGGGAATAAACACCTTTCAATAATAACTCTCAATGGTAATGACCTTCACTCCCCAATTAAAAGACAGATTGAAAAACTGGATCAAAAAATAGAATCCAACAGTCTGATGCATTCAAGAAACTCATATAATCCATCGAAATCCATCAAATAGTAACTACCATGTTCTAACACTGACCTTTAAAAATCTAAAACTAGAAATTGTATTTGACCTAGCTATTCTCCTAGGTATCTTCCCAAAGAGCTAAAGACATCATATTACAGCAACATACTGTACTACAGCAACACATTGTACCAATGTCTGTACCAGCACAATTCATAATGGCTAACTGTGGAAGCCGTCTGTATGTCCTTCAGCGATGAATGGATAAACAAAATGTGGTATCTACACATAATGAGATATGACTGGTATTCGGCTATACAGAAGGATAAATCTGAGGCACTTGTAGGAAAACGAATACACCTGGAAAATATGATAGTCAGTCAAATAAATCAGACTCACAAGCTTAAATATTGTATGGTATCTATCATTTGAGTTAAGGCAAAATACACATAAAGAGCAAAATAAAGGAACGAAGCACCTTTTGCAAATGGGAAAGGGTCCAAGAGGCCAAGGGAAAGGGGTGGGGTAGGGGAAGTAAAAGATGTATCATGTATGTTTACCAAATACTTCCAAGGAATGGAAACATGCTGTGCGGTAAACATGAACTAAAAATAGTAACAGTAATAATGAAAATAGGAAAAAGGGATCTAGAGACAAAGGAAAGGGGGGGTGGGGAGGAGAAAGGGAATAAATAATAATCAAGATGTGTTAGTACATGTACTTACTCCTATGATGAATGTAAACTTTGTGTACTGCAAACCAAAATAAAAAGGAACCTGAATACTTGTCAACAATTCTTAGTAGCTAGAAATATCTCACACCTTTCATATTTTGAGAAAAAAGAAGGGAGAGAAGGAAGGGAAGAAGGAATAAAGGAAAACATGAGTCAAACTTCCAGACAACAAAATTTCTTTTCAATTATAGTAGAACAAGTGAAAATTATCTCTCTGGCACTGAGGATGTTTAGCACAAGTGTTAACACTCCAACAGTACTAATTTATGGCCATACTACATCCAATGGCTGCAAGGAGTTCTGCTAGGGAGTGACATAAAAGATTAAAGTTGTTACTGAGAATGAGAAAAATCATGAGACATTCTTAACATGATTCTTAATAGTCAACTCAGATAAAGATGAAGATTTCTTCTTCCCCAAAAAAACACAAATATTCTTTTAGATTACAAAGTCCTATTTGCATATGTTTGTAATTCAAGGAAATATTTGAAAACCTACTACTGATAGAAAGAAAATTATTGTTTACTTAAAAAGAAATATTCAGTTGGCCAAACTTTAGAGCTGAGAAACTAGAGCCTATGGGCCACATGTGGCTGTCTGTCTTTTGTACAGACGTCTTCAAAACATACGGTAAATGTTGAAATTTTTAAAATTTACTACAGTAAAAGACACTGCCATTAATCCTTCCTCTCGTGTTTCAAACATACTTATCCCATTGTTCTTGTCACTTTCTGAAGCACTTTGAGAAGTCTTCTTTCATGTTTTCACTAGTGAAAGCTGATGCCAAGTGATATCGTACAGAAAAACAGGTTCATAAAAAATTACAGTTTTCATTGGATCTGGCACTAGGCAAATTTTAGTTCCTCCCAAAAGTCAAAATGACCATGAACTGATTCAGGACATCAAGGTAACCATGACAGTGCAACTGAAGGCACTTTTGAAAGGGGACTCCCAGAGGGCTCGGGATTTGGCTCAGTGGTTCTGGCGCCTGCCTCGCAAGCACAAGGACCGGCGTTCGATCCCCAGTACCAAAAAAAAGAAAGGGGACTTCCAGAACTGCTTCAAAAAGTGACAAGAAAGACATAAGTGGGTTGAAACCCTGGGAAAGCCCCCCGCCCCCGGTACTGGAGATTGAACTTAGGACCTTGTACTTGAGAGGTAGGCAGCGGTACCACCGAGCTAAATCCCCGGCCCATGGGGAAAGTTTTTGAGGGAAATTAATGGCAATGTGTCTTTTATTGTAATAAAGTTTTTGAAAAATATTTAAATATTAGCTGCATTTTTAAAAATCACACCATGTATATGAAGGATTTCAGTTTTTTGTTTTACTGTAATAGTGACTGAGGCCAGAGCAATCGCAGAGCTACAAACCCCAGTCTGTTTTTACTTTCTATTGAAGTCTCCCAAAGTTGCTCAGGCTGGGCTCAAACTTCAGGTCCTCACTGGGATTAGAAACGTGCACTAACATTTGTGGCTTTAGTGGAGCACAGTCACAGCTATTAGTTTAGTACTGTCCATGGCTGCATTCAAGCTAGAATCACAGAATGGAGTGGCTCTGACAGATACCAGAATCACAGAGCCTAAGTAATCACTCTCTGATCCAGCTGCCCCTTGCTGTGTCTCAAGCTCCTAACTATGATGATAAACACTACCACAAAGCCTGACAGCTCATGTGAAAAATCAGTTCTAATGCTTTCACTGTTTGACTTGATACTTCCGGTAGACAAGACACTGTGGACAAAACTAACATGCATTACAACTTTCTTCATCTTCAAGGACCATCTGTGCCACTGACTAGGCCCTCGGAAACCATCTGATACAAAACACTTTTCTTTCATAATATAATGTGCCTCACAACTTTTATACTTACAGGTGTTCTTCAAGCTTCTTTTTTAGAAGAACTGACTGAAAATGGAAAATAAAAATCAGTTTATTAACTTCTTAAACAAACCATGTTAAAAGAAATTAAGAATAAAAAGTAACTAACTTTGGGTCAGTTTTCCTTAATTTCTTTGAAGAACTCATATAACTATATTTATTCGCTTTCATAAAGGGAAATAGCAGCCAGCTCACCATTGGTAAGAATTAGAGATTTCACCTTTCCATCTACAGTAGAAAATGAACTAAAAAGCCACAGTTCCAGACAATTTATGCAATGGTATGGGAACTTCAAAGGGTGCTGAGTAACATGCTCAGATTTTAATGCTGGTGAATTGTGAAGATTTTTTTTGGGGTATCAGAAATCGAATTAAGGGCCTCTCACTTGCCAGGAAGGCACTGCACCACTGAGCTACATCCCTGAGCCTGTTTTTTGGAGTCAAGGTCTCACTATGTAGATCAGGCTTGGTGTTGAACTTGTGGTAATCCTCCTGCCTCAGCTTTCTGAAAGATGTAATTACAGTTGTATGCCACCACCACACCTAGCTGAACAATGCAACTTTGACTAGATATTCTTTAAAAAAGGTCTCCTAAAAAGTAGAGATCAAAACCGACTTAAAAATAAATAATAAAGGCATTCTGAATAGGAGCACTAAGTTTCACAAATATTCCTAAGGGTACTCTTGATAATTAACTTTATAAAACATTTCATTTTGAGGTAAACATTTTGAGGTTATGTAATTCAGTCAAAATCAAAATAATACAGGACTGGGGATTTAGCTCAGTAGTTCTGCCGCCTACCTAGCAAGCGCAAGGTCCTGAGTTCGATCCCTGGTACCAATAAAAAAAAAAATCAAATTAATACAGACTTATAAACAAACTGTCCAATTCAATAGCAGCCACAAGGGGAGAAAAACCCATTGTTAGTTCTTCAATTTTTAGCTGCTTTATTTAATAATGATCACTATAAACTTCTTATTCATGTCTACTCTAACAAATTTTGGAATGATTCAAATTCACTTCTTTGCTTGATTCATGTCTAATTATAGTTTTATCAGTGGACCACAATGTCCCTTGTCACTGATACAAAGGTATATGAGATAATCACAAATACACACGAGATAACTCTTAGCATTTTTTTTTTTTTTTTTTTTTTTTTTTTTTTTTTTTTTTTTGTAGCAGGGATCAAACTCGGGCCCTTGTGCTTGCAAGGCAGGTGGCGGAACCACTGAGCCAAATCCCCAGCCCTTCTTAGCTTTTGATTATTACTTGTCCCTTTAGGAGAGAGGGTAAAATGTAAATTCTTTTAAAGAAATACCTAACTTTAATTCTGTACTTTTGCTGTGATTAGACTCTAGCAAAATTATCCACTCTAAAATAACACACTACACTTAAATAAGTAGTTAATATGTCAGGCACTGCACTGACATGTTATATACTGCTGTCTTGTGTAAACTTTACCATACTGTGATATCAGCCCCAGCTTATAGACAAGTAAGACTAGGCCAAACAATACTTAGTTTTCACCCAGTGATCCCAAATTAAAAGCCAGGTGGTACCAGATCCCAAGGTCTACACACAAACTTTCTCCCTCCAATCCTCCTATGCTGCAGTGCCTCCCCATTACTGACAAAATGTGCAGCAGGAGGAAGCCAGATATAATAGGAACCAATTATAATAATGGACAGAGGAGGAGTATGAGGGTTGGGAGGGTGGGGAGATGGGGATGAACACAATTTCTACAGTTTGATTTTTTAAAAACTCTGATATCCTTTAAGTATCTTGATTGTAAAGGGCATAAACCTATATGGCAAGTAATATTGTATAGTTATTTTACATACAATTGTCTTAAGATTTCAGTATCACCAACTGTGATGTCATAAAATGTACAAATCTTAAAATGGTTCAATATACAGAAATAAACAGGAAGCCATACTTACAATAGCCTTGAGCAGAAAGCATGCCAAGAGACAGAGAAGACATATTAGTGTGAAGCAAATACAGCAGCCAATAGAAGAAGCAATTTAGGTAATTCACAAACGATGAAGTAAAAGATATGATGGTGTTTTTATTCTTTCCTTTCAGAACTATTCATTTTTCTTTCTTCTATGGTCTCCTTATCCTCTCTTGTTCTCTGGAGTTTTATATACTGTGGCTAGCTCAAATATAACTGGATGTAACAATGCTTTTCTGCTTCCATGCTAAAAACAAATAACATTTTAAAAAACAAATGTACAAACTACCCTACTTTGTCTGACTTAAGGTTCACATGAAAGAACTCAGGTTTTTTGGTTTGTTTTTGATTTTTGAGACAGGGTCTCTCTATGTACTTCCGACTGGCCTTAAACTCATTCTGTAGCCCAGGCCGCTTTGAACTTGTGGTGATTCTCCTGCTGCAGCGTCCCCAGAGCTGTGATTATGGGTGTAGGCCACCATGGCGGTGTTCCATGGCGGTGATCAATTCCAACTGGCAGGCTGCTGTATGTATTAAGTGTTCCTGAGGTGCAACATTGTAGATTATTGAAGAAAAAAGAAAACACCAGGAGAGAGAGAGTGTGTGTGGGTGGGGGGGGCTTCATATCCTATACTGCACTATTTATTTCTCTTAAGTTATTTGCAGGGAAAGCTTCAAAATAGAAAATTTTTCATCTGCATCCTGTCTACATACAGAAAACAACTCAGACTAACCTTCTGTTTAATTCATCGGAAGACAGCACACTTACATCTCAGCAGTCAATAAATCGACCAATTTATACAAACAATATTAAATAGGGTTGGCACTTCATTTCTGAAAAATGTGCTCAAAGTAATGGCCCCCAGCGTATTTAATTAAATTTGCTATTTAACCAGGTGGTTGCTCTTATCCATCATCCCCAGGGCACTTGCAGTAAGCTACACCTTCAGCCCACTTTTATTTTAGACAGGGTCTTGGTAAGTCACTAAATTGCCCAGGCTAGGTTAAAACTTGAGCTCTTTCTGCCTCAGCCTTCCAGAGTGCTGAAATTATAGGCATGAGCCACCATAACTGGGTATGACAAATTATTTTTAAAAAACTTCTATAGCTTGAGGAATAGCTCATGATACCGTGTTTGCCTAGCATGTGCAAAGCCTTGGGTCTGAATCCCAGCACTAGAAAGAACAAATAGTAAACTCTCCTTCATGTTTTAAAATAAGAGAACTAAGTACAGTATCATCACTGTAACACTGAAGTTTTCTTAAGTCTCCTTAACATTTTAGAGATCAGAATGAACTTTACTTCATCTCAGTTTAATGGACCTAGAGATGTTAATTAAAGAAAGAACACACCTCATGGTGCATATCTAAGAACTCTTCATTGGAATTAGTATTTTAGTACATGCATGGTACATTTGTTTTACCTCTCTGTGATTAGTATTTTGAATAAAACATACTTTTAAAAAGGGTGACATTGAGCTGGGGATATGACTCAGTGTTAAGAGTTTAATGCCTAGAACCAGAAAACAACAATAAGAAAACCCCAAAAATAAACAAGGGGAGAAAAAGTCACTATAAGCTAGCTATTTTAATATGAACATAAGGAAGTTTAAATGTTGGTGCTATAATAGAAAGTGATAATCAGTTTGGAAATCTAAAATGACCACCAACACATTAACTAAGGGGTAAACTAAAATCACTGATCATCAAGGCCATGTTGCCAATATAAACTAGATGCATCTGTGGGACAAATGATAATAAAATTAGGTCCCTTATAACCTTTCCACATTTAGTATTCAAGCTTTAAGTAATTAACTTCCCCTCTTTGCTCAATTTTGCTTTGATACCCTCATATTAATAGTGCTGGATGAATACAGTGTTGAAGCTGATCCCCAAAATGACTATCAATGACATAGTGAAGTAGGGTTACTGTCAAAGGCCAGTGATCACAAAATATTACACTGCCACAGGAAAAACAAAAAAGCTGACCTAAAGCAAAGACTGGCCGGTAATATTTAGTGTGCCCCCACATCATAAAACTAGTACTAAGTCATAGCTCTAGTGTATGCTGCTCCTTATATAAGTAAGGACCTGCCAACAATGACTTACGTATACTGTTGCCAGGGCCTGATAACTACTGGGTGCTTCCTTAGCACTGTGATGAGTGGAAGCATGTTGAGTCGAGCAAAGACACTGTGCTTGGCTGAATATGTGCCACATTCCAGTGGGAATTTGCCAATGATGCAGGCAGAGCTATGACAGGGATATGCAACATGCACAGCACTACAGGAACAGAAAAGCTGGGTGTGGAGGCGCATCCCTCTAATCCCAATTATTCAAGAGGCAGAGGCAGGGAGATTCCAAGTACTGGGCAACTCAGTGAGCCTCTATTTCAAAACAAAGATAAGCTGGGCGTGGTGGCACAAGCCTGTAATCCCAGCACTCGGGAGGCTGAGGCAGGAGGATGGTGTGAATTCCAGACCAGCCTGGGCTACATAGTTAGTTCCAGGTCAGTCTCAACTACATAGTGAGACCCTGTCTCAAACAAACAAACAAACAAACAAACAAAAACAAACAAAAAAAACAAAGATAAAGAAAGGGTTGGGGATATAGCTCAGTAACAAGTGTTTGCCTAGCATGCATGATGCCCTGCGATTCTAAGGACAGCACTGTTTTCTTTGCTTTTTTCCCCTCTTTATCTTTTTTATTTTTTGGTACTGGGGATTGAACTTGGGGCCTTGCGCTTGCAAGGCAGGTGGCGGAACCACTGAGCTAAATCCCTGGCCCCCACCCTTTCTCTTTTCTTTTTTTCTTTTGTGGTACTGGAGATTGAACCCAGGGCCTTTGGACTAAGCAAATTTTAACACAGCATCATTCTAAATCATATGGCCTGAGCTCAGAGTTGCAATCCTCCTGCCTCAGATTTTCACAGTGTTAGAATTATGTATCTGGTTAGCACTGTTTTCTGGAATATCAAGTTTACATTAAAATATTACCTGATCCTTTCTCTAAGGAATGTAAGTAAAAGGAAAACATTATTTCTTTTCTGTACTAGTATAATGCTACATTATTTTGATAAAGGTCATCAAAAAAAGTTAGATTTTCTCTACACTGAAAATTTTTGACCACTTCTGGAATGTATTAAAACTTACATCTTCTGCTTTTGAGCCTTGATCCTGTAAAGATTTCTGTAGTTCTTCAACTTGTGACTGTACTTCCAAAAGTCTTTGATTCACCAGCCTAGAAGTCAAATGTACATTAATTTTCCAAGTACAGACTTGTCTTTTTTCCTTTGGTTGTCATATTGGTTACAAAGCAAACATCATTCAAAGGCCATTTTACAGCAGTAGTATATAGTAGCAGTAGTAGTACAGTAGAAGCCTCACGTCATAAGCTAGCTTACTTTTCATATTATTTTTGTATTGCTTGAAATTTTTTTTGGCCAACATAAATCTATAATAAGCTGAATTAAAAAAAAAAAAAGAGCATACTGGAAGGGCATGTTAGGTTTGCCACAATTTATGGCACCTCAAGTATCAGAGCAGCGAGGCAACTTGCCCCAGGTGCATGGCTGGTTTGTCACAGAAGCAGAGATCCCAGTCCTGAATGCCCAAGGCCTGTTCTGCCCCTGAGGATGTTGCAGTCTGATGAGGACAGGGCTCTAGCAGACAGGACAAGCTGGATACGTTACCGTGGGCATGTAGCCTGGCCTCTCTCAGCCTGTTCCTCATCTAGAAAGTTGAATGCGAACTATGTTAGTGTTTCCTGAGGGGATTGAAATTTCTGATTGAGGACTTCTTACACAGTCTTTCTGTAGAAGCATTTTTTGAAACCAATGTGTCATTTATTTGAAATTCACTTTGATATACTTATGCAAACTGTCAGGCACTGTGCATTCCAGTCGAGTGGAGAGGCAGAAAGTCAAGAAAATGAGGTGAATACTTCAGGAGAGTTCACTAGAATGTACAAAACAAATGATCACTGGGTAAAGAACTCAGTGAAGGAGTTAAGATAAGCATGGCTTGAAATGAGACTAGAACAATAAATAAAATACTTAGGTGGTGAAGGGTAGAAAAGGGATTCAGGACAGTTCACTATGTCCAAAAATGCATAGCTATATGACAGGGAATGTTCAGGAATGGTATTTCTAAAGAATAAATTCTGAGGGCAAGGCTGAAACTGGAGGAGAAAAGGCACAGACAGATCTGATGGGATCTGCTCCATCTGTATTGTATATGAAATGCCAAGTATCCAGAATTCTGTAATCGATAATTCTCTAATTTGGCTCAAAACTGGAATAAACTGAATAAACTTTAATAATTATGACTCCAAGATTCAGAATTTCTCTGGCCCATTATGATGCATGTTTAGTAACACAGTTTGGTTCTCTAGTCTTGGGTAACAATGAAGAATTGCAAGAAAGAGAAAACACGATCAGAAAATATTTCAGAAAGATCACATTGGTTTTAAGAGTGGGAGACATTAAAACAGTAAAAGAACAGGCATAAATATTGGGGGGAGATTGTTATTATTACAAATACGTCTGAAATATAAGAGAACAAATAAAAAGTTTTAAGAAAAGATAAAAGAAAACAGGAAATCAAAATGAACAGCATGGTTTTGGGTATTCACTGAGAGAGAGACAGAGGAACAAGTTAAGAAAGTGAAAATCAAATATCCGACTTTGTATTTGCTGAAGATGAAGCGCTCAAAAGTCTGTCAGAGATGTCTGAACCCGAAGCAGAGAGAAATGCATGAGTTGAGCATATACATTTAAGAACAATTTAGTTAACTGAGGCCACGAACACAAATTATACTGCCTAGCAAGAATATGAAATAGAGTAGAAATGAGTTACCAAGATGGCCTATGGCAGATCCTTAAGGGAAGAGAAATTCCACTGCAAAGAAAAATCAGAGAATTACAGGAAACAAGAGTGGAGTGTTTTAAAAAAAGTTTGAGGAAGAAAGAAATGAGTAACAACACAGTAAAAAGATGAGGAAAGATAATCTTGAATAGTCCCACTGGATTAGCCATTTAAGAGATGATGGGTCATTTTAGTAAGAGATGTGCTAGTGGGATAATAATAGAAAAAGCTGTATCACCTCAAATTAAGAATAAAAGAGTACTGAGTATCAGAATTTAAACAGCCAGAAAGTTCAGTAAAATTTTTTCAATCCAACAACTTAATTTAACAAATTAAATTATTTGAAAATCCACATTCAGTACAGGAACATATATTCACAAATACATTCTAGTGACACTGTGACTTTGTTCAGTCTGTTCAGAAAACAATTTGGAAATATGCGCCATGCTCTAAGACTATTTTAACTATACATCTTTGCTACTTTGAGATTATTTTATCAACACTGTAAGTCTACTATGTAGAGCCTACTGTAAATATAAAATACAGTCTATATCAAGATATTCCTTAGAGGACAATGGAAGTGTCCAGCAATGGGACTGGACAAGTAAACATAGTAATGTAACTGTTGAAGTATGAAGCATGTGGGCAACACAAATATGCACAAACAGGTATTATAGTCTGAGAAGCAACAAAACAAAATCCTGTGTTCTTTGAGAAAGCTCCCTGGGCAATTCCGATACTGCTGCATTTGAGACTTTATCACTCTCCTAATGTTTTCTGAACAGTTAGTATTACAGAATTTTAAAACATACTAACTTAATGGGAAGACTAATCAGAAAAGATTTTGGTCTACTACAAACTTTGCCTTCTTCTTTTTTTAATTTGGTACCAGGGATCGAACTCAGGACCTTGCACTTGCGAGGGAGGTGGTGGAACCACTGAGCTAAATCCCTGGCCCTTTCTTATTCTTTGTTTTTTTTTGGTATTGGGGATCAAACTCGAAAACTTTACCTTCTAAAAATATGATATATGGGTGATAAATAAATTGTATTTAAGGTTAAAAGACTCAGTAGGCCAGGAATTTAGCTCAGTGGTTCCGCCGCCTGCTTTGCAAGCACAAGGACCTGAGTTCGATCCCTGGTACAAAAATAAAGACTCAGTAGGACTAAAGCATAGGGCTCCTGGTGCTGAGTTCAGTATCGCAGTCTATTAAGAAATTGTTAGAGACAAGGTAAGTACGCATAAAATGTAGGAAGAACAAAAATAGGGTATTTTATCTAAGACAAAAAGCATTCTATGAGAGGAAGTCAGGAAAAACAATCAGTGTTTTCCAGATATTGTAAAAGATAAACTGGCAAAACAAGGGATATGGATTAGGTATAGACACTGGAGTCAGGCTGTCGGAATCCCTTCATTTAAAAAACTTTCATAGGGCTGGGGATTTAGCTCAGGGGTACTGCCGCCTGCCTCACAAGCACAAGGACCCGAGTTTGATCCCTGGTACCAAAAAACTCCAAAAAGCCAAAAAACAAAAACAACAATAGCAATAACAAAAACTTTCATAAACATAAGTGCGATGACATATTTAAAACATGCAGCACAATGTTTGGAATAAACAGGTGCTTCATAAGTATTATATGTTTTATATTTTAGATCATTGGTGGTTATAATCTAAAGGTCACTTGTCATCAAGTTGTAATTAAGAAATAAACAAAAAGTGTTTGTAAATGGGGAGAGGAGGAGGGGGTGAAGGGAGGGTAGGGACATGGGGAAAAAATGAGAACCAAGACCTGTCATGTAAAGGCATAAGATCCCAGTAATGAATGTAACTGTACTGTATACATAAAATGTACCAATAAACGCAATAGAAAAGGGGGAAAAAAGAAACAACACTAAGCTGTAAACAGCTATAGCTAACATAGGATCTTCGAAGGTAATCAGTCACTAATAGGCACAGTGTAAATAAATAATAACCAGTTCTCTTGTTTCTTATGAGGAAGGAGCAATGACTGAAAAGCCTCCAAGACCAATGCAAAGCATTATGAATTAAATTATGTTTTTCACTGACAAGAATATTGGGGTAAGGAGAAGCAGTTCTTAACATGATGGCTCAGGACTAATGAAGCAGACAGAAGACCCCTCCACTCCCAGGAGAGCATGATCACCAGCTCTCCCATCTTCCTCTATTTTCTCCATTTCTACTTTTTTAAATAATAAAAATATTATTCTCTATGTTCCTTAATGTTTATGTAAAATTGGTTTCCTGCTTATGCTTAATACTGCTTTTATAGTGCTCTAGTATTTCCATAAGCTCACACTGGTTCCTTATTCTTCCTCAGAAGCTTTCAAATTTACCTTCTAACCAAATTTAAAGCTTCAGAAAGAAGGGTAGGACATGTAAAACTTTTGACTTATAGCAATGACTCTCACCTAGAAAATGCCAAATCAATCAGGTACAAAAAAACACTGTAGTAAAAACCAAAACCAAAACAAACGAAAAACTGTAGTATAGGCAAACTATTAAACTATTAATAAAAATGTGAAATTCTGCAGATAGATGGTGTGTATCACAGCAGTAAGAAAAAATTTCCAAAAGGAGCCAAAAGACTGTTTCAACAAAAACGAAAAGTAATTCTTGTCTAAGGACGCTATAGATTTGAAAGTAAAGTAACTGACTTGTGGCAGGCTACTAAATAAACAAAAACCAGTAGCATTCCTGTACACCAATAATGAACCTAACGAGAAAGAAAATAGGAAAACAATTCCAACTATGATAGATTTAAAAATCAGACTCCAAAGGGTTGGTGGGGGAACAAAACTGAAGAGGGTGTTAGAAAATTGAAAAATATCCTCTTTTTGAACAGGCAGAATCAATATTGCCAAAATGACCATATTACCAAAAGGTTATCTATAGATTCAATGCAGTCCATATTAAAATAACATTTTTTTTTCACAAAACAAGAAAAAAAAAAATCCTAAAATTTATATGGAGGCAGAAAAGATCCATAATAGCCAAAGCAACCCTGAGTAACAACAGCAAAACAGGAAGCATCACAATGCTGGATTTAAAATTATACTACACAGTTAAAGTAACAAAAACAGGACAGTAATGGTACAAAAACAGACATGTAGACCAACTGAATAGAACATAAGACATGGAAACAATCCCATACACCTTCAGTCATCTGATTCTTGACAAAGGGGCCAAGCCAAAGACATATGTTGTAGAAAAGATAGTCTCTTTTTAACAAATGATACTGGGATAGCTGATTATCTATGTGCAAATCACTGAAACTAGATTCTTATCTTCTACCTACTACTAAAATCAAGTCAAAAATGTGTTTAAGACTTAGACATAAAAAAAGAAATGTTGAAACAGATGGAATATAACATGGTAAAACAGTCGAAGCCACAGGTACAGACTTCCTGAACAGAATCCTAACGGTGTAAGAAATATCATGAATCAACTAATGGAATTACATTAAATTACACAGCTTCTGCACAGCAAAGGAAACAACCAACAAAGTGAAGAGACAACCTAAAGAATGGGAAAATGTTATTGTTGGGCACTCTTCTCATAGAGATTTAACTTCTAAAATATATAAAGAACTCTAAAACATTACCTCCCCTCCAATGACTCAATTAAAAAAATAGACAAATGAAATGAATAGGCAAGTACAAATGGCCAGTAAGTCCAAGAAAAATGTCCATCATCTTTAGTCGTTTGGGAAATGCTAATCAGCACAACTCTGAGACTCTTATGACATGCTAGTCAAAATAACTATCATATCAGGGACATAAAAAACAAATGCTGTTGAGGATGTATGGAAAAGGGAACATTTTGGTGGGCAGGTAAACTAGTATAACCACTATAGAAATAAGTATAGAAATTTCTAGAACAACCAAAAGAGAAATTCCATTTGACCCAACTGTGCCTCTTCTTGGCACATTCTTTTGGGGGGAGGCACCAGGGATCAAACTTGGAACCTTGCGAGGCAGGCAATGGAACCACTGAGCTAAATTCCCGGCCCTTCTTGGTATATTCCTGAAAGAGCTAAAGACATGATACTATAAGTGATATATGCACACATTCATGTTTATAGCAACACAATTCAAAATAGTTAAGTTCTGGAAACAGCCTAGATGCCACCAAAAGAAGAATGAATTAAAAAATAATTATCTTGCAATGAAGAACAAAATCATGTCATCTGCAGGAAAATGGATGGAAGTTGAGATTACACTATGAAGTATACTACGTCAGGCACAGAAAGTTAAATATCTTATGGTTTCTCTTATATGATAAAACTATAATAATAATAAAGAAAAGAATAAAATAAAGGAATGATGGTAGGAAAAAAGACAGACTTATTCAGGACAGGGAAGGTTATTAAAAAGAGGCAATGGGTAAAGGGACTGAAAATGATCAAGACATATCACATATATGTACCAGTTTGTCAATATGAATATAACTATTGTGTTTTGAAACATACATTAACAATAAAGAACAAAAAAGTACCTGACTTTATTGACCGTATAACACAATGCACCAAAAACTTATAAGCCAAAAAAAGAAAAACAAAAAGGATTTTGTTGAATTTACAGATTTAAGTTTTCAAAATAACTGAATTGTTCATAAGATGAATGATTTCTTTAGGTTTAAGGTAAATAACAGATTAGGGGTAAAAAGTGCTTTTGTTGATTCAAACACACACCAATAGGGTTGAATCAGCAGCTTGTAAAAATGCAGTAAATTATATGAACCTGAAAATAAATTATGAATTGCAACTGTTATAGAAGACCAAATGCATGATCTGGTTTTTTAAATCCTCCACTTTTAATTAGTGACTAGAAAGGACAAATGGTGGAGTTTTAGCAACACTTTGAAAAAAGCTAAGAGAATAATGCTGGCATAAACAGGCCCAATACTTCTGGCAAGTTCGCGCAAAGGATTAAATCTGGATTAAAGTACCTTTAAAAGGAAATACAACAGCACAGGAAAACATTGTAAAACACAAAATCTTTCTTTAAGGGAATCAAAATCAGACAAACAGGCAATCTATGGCTAGATGCCACAACTTACACACACCTTACCTGTTCTCTGTCTCCAGTTCATTCTTGCGTAGATTTGCATCATCTAGGAGGCTCTGCAATAAGGCAATTTTTTCATTGTCGGAACCTTCTTGATTAATTTTTAACATTTTATTCTCATGCTGAAGACGAATAAGTTTCTCCCTGAATAAGCAAAATGAAAACATTATCTGGCATATTAATACAATATAGATATCAAAGTCCAGCCATGAAGAGTAAATAAACAGAATAGGAAAAAAAATTATCAGCAATGAAATTAGCTTCTTTACAAACTGCTAAGACATTACATTTCAGGAATTAAATTCTTTTCAGAATACAGAACCTGCAGACAGTAGTTTTTACATGTCATGACTTACATAGAAGGCCATTTCAATCCTCTTTCCCTTTTGATTTAAATACTTAAGCCACAAATAAATTTTTCTTTGATAAGAAAGCAAGATCTCTAAAGTTATGCTATTTCATTCACCAAATCTTGGCAAGGTGTACTCAATGAGCACTATCATTAAGATATTCAGAAGCTAGCCAGGTGTAATGGCGCATGCACGTAATCCCCCAGCACTCAGGAGGCTTAAGGCAGAAGCTGGGGGTGGTGATGCACACCTCAGCACCTGGAAGGCTGAGGCAGAATTGTCATGAGTTGGAGGTGAGCCTGGGCTACAAAAGTGAGTTCAAGGTTAGCCTTAAGACCCTGTTCAAAAGCAAAAAAAATTTTTTAAATTAAAAACAAAAAAGATATTCAGAACATCCATTCCTGTAGTTATGTTAAAACTGTATCCTTACAACAAGACCAATTATTCGAGTAAAATTACTACCTTGTCTTGTTTCAGACTTTTTGTGCTATATGGAAGGATGTTAAAAGCAAGCAATACACACAATACCACAGTGACCGCAGGGAGGATATAATGGGATATCATCAGTGCATATGAAGACTCGTTAAAGGTTAATTCATTATTTTCTTTACACAGAGCCATCTTTAGAGGACTCCGTGAAGACAGCAGTATCAGATACTAGATATTGTACTATGAAGAGCCCTGCTTTCATGAAAAAAAAAAAAAAAATCAAAATAAGCATATACATAAAAAAAAAAAAACAAAAAAACACAGCTCTTATTCTGTAAACACAAAACCAGTAAGTCCCCCCCTTTTGGTTTTTTGAGATAGTGTCTTGCTATATAGTCCAGGCTGATCCTTTAGCTAACTGTATAGCCCAGGTTGGCCTCAGACTTGTGGCAATCCTCTTGCCTCAGGACCCGAAGTGATGGGATTTCAGGCTGTGTGTCGCCACACGTAGCTTAAACATCATGAATCTTACAAAAGCACTTTTACTTGTGCTACTAAAAAGATGAGTCAAATCTATAATTCAATTCCAGAAGTTACATAGAATGAGAGAGATTTTGTATGTGAGCAATATTCACTTAATATTTTTTCAATTACAAAATAAACACACATACTGAAGGGGAAAAGAATGAAAAAAGAATCATCCATCACTCTATGAAGCCATTGCTGAAATACAGTGCTGTGCATATATACATACATGTAGTATTTTTTTTTGTGTGTGTGTGTGAGGTACTGGAGACAGTTCAAAGACTACACACTGACCTACATCCCCAGCCCTTTTTTAAATTTTGAGACTGGGTCTCGCTAAGTTGCCCATTCTAGATTTGAACTTGGGATCTTCCTGCCTCAGCCTCCCAAGTGCTAGGATTACAGACATTCACCACCACACCTGGCTACAATCATCTATTAAAAAAATGGAGGGCCTGGGATTTAGCTCAGCACTTTGGTGGCCTGCCTTGCAAGCGCAAGGACCAGAGTTGAATCCCCGGTACCAAAAAAAAAAAAAAAAAAAG